TCTTTTCTGTTGATAAATGGAAGACTTCGGAATTGTTCATTCAGCATATTTCACCAGCAATAAAATTCACTTTTTTTCTTTTGTAATATTGTTTCTACTTATCTTACTGCTTTTTATCTTGTAACAAGTCTTTTATTATACTCTTTTTATAGTATTTGCTTTAAATAAATAATTAAAATTTCATGGCCAAAAAGCACTTTACCACATTTAAAGCCATTACACATGGGGATTAAATAACATAAAGAAAGAAATATGGAAATATAGTTCTTACCAGAAATCTCAGCAACTTTAGTACATGAAAGTGGAATACTTTTGCTGCCTCACTACCCATTTCCCTTGCCAGGAAATTACTAAATATATTAAACAGGACTGAGTACAGAACCTTGAGGCACTCCATTGTTAATCTTCGTCTTGATGAAAATTAACCATCTACCATGCTTTGTCTCCTAGACAGTTTTTGATCCATTAAAATGTTGCCTCTCCTACTACTTTTTTAGTTGACTCTTGTATGGGACCTTATCAAAGGCCTTTTGTAAGTGTAAATAAATTATGTTGACTGGTTCTCTATCCACCACTTTGACTCAGTCAAAGAATTCTAATAGATTAGTGAGACATAATTTTTCTTTGCAGAAATAATACTGGTTAGACCCTGTCATATCATGCTCTTCGGGGGGGGAGGGTATTTTTAATTATTATTTCAATCAATTTTTCAGATACAGATGTAGGACATACTGGTCTATAATTCCCCTAGCACATTTGCCACCCTCCAATCCTCTAGAACAGTGGGTGTTTTAAATGAGAATATGCATATTTGTGTTAACAGCTCATTTTCTTCAAACTTAACTCTTTCAGAACTCTTGGATGTAACTCATCTGGCCCTGATGATTTATTACTTTTTAAAATATGCATTTATTTCAGAACCTCCTCTTCTGACATCTTTCTCAGAGAGTAACTCACCTTTTACCAGAAAAGAGCAGGTTCAGGATAGGAAGCTCTCCAACATTCTCTTCAGTGAACTGATTCAAAGAAATCATTTAGCTTCTCAGCAATGTCCTTATCTTCCTCAATGGCTCGCTTTAAGCCATTGTGATCCACTTTCACAGGCTTCCTATTTTTGCTATACAGTACTTAAAGAATCTTTTGTTGTTTGTTTTTACACCTTTTGCTGTTTACTCCTCAAAATCCTTCTTATTGCCCTCTTACTTGTGGCTTGCTATGATTTATGTTGCTGTTTATTGGCTTCACTGGGTTCAGATTTCCAAATTTAGAAGGATATCTGTTTGGCTTGAATAGCCTCTTAAACTTTCCCATTTAGTAATATTAGTTTACTCCTGGGCTACTGAGACTCTATTTTTTGTTTCTTTGTTTTTTAAGTATTTTACTTTATTTAATTTTAACTTCAGGGCCTTTTTTGAGTGACCTCATTTTATTGAAATCTCCTTTCTAAAGTTTGATGTCACTGTGTCACTTTTGGGTATGCTCCTTGGATGTTGGATCTAATTATTATGTGGCTCAGCTACTGTCACTTCTTGAATTAACTCTATAACTAGCTGCTCCAAAAAAAACAATCACTGAAGTGTCAAGAAATTGTTTCTCTAGGCTTTCTCTTGTTGTGTCATTTGACCAGTTAGTATGTGGGTAGTTGAAATACCTTATTATCACTGTGTTAGATTTTGTTGCCTATCTGGTCTCTCATAACAGGTATATTCAATTTCCTTTTCTTGATCTAGAGGCTGGTAGTATAGCTGTACTAATATGTTTACACCTTGGGATTTGTACCCTATAGAATGGGTACATAGTGAGTGGCCCTCTCTTTTTTAATTCTCTAGATTTTATGGAATCCTTTAGCTACAACACTCCTCCGACACATCTTTGTCTAGCCTGGCATTCATGTATAGTTTGTAACCAAGTGTTACAGTATCCTGTTAATTTTTGTCATGCCACCAAGTTTCCATAATGCTTATTATATCAAGGTCTTTGTCCATTGCAATGTATTCTAGTTCACCTATACTTCACAATAGGGTGGGACTCCTTATTGATCCTTCCAAGTACATTTACAGTGTTTGACTTGAAAGAAAGGAGTAGAGCCACTGAAAAATGATTCAATTAACCCTTATTCCAACATACAGGGCTTGTCTACTCTAGAAACCCTACAGTGACACTATAGCACTTCAGTTTAGACACTACCTATGCTGACATTCTGCCATCAGCATAGGTAATCCATCTCTCCGAGGTGCAGTAACCAGGTCAATGGAAGAATTCTTCCATCAATCTGGTGCTGTCTACACAGGGATTTAGGTTGGCTTAACTACGTTGTTCAGGGGACCAAGTATCAGGGGGTAGCCGTGTTAGTCTGTATCTACAAAAACAACAAGGAGTCTGGTGGCACCTTAAAGACTAACAGATTTATTTGGGCATAAGTTTTCGTGGGTAAGGGTTGATCTAATTTTCTAGTGTAGACCAGCCCGTAGTCAATGGTATCAAATATAGGTGACATATTTAAAGGAACAAGTGTGGATACCTTATCTTCTTCTGTGATTAGATCAGCAAATGCACTTTCTTTAACATACCCAGACTGAATAGGGTCAAGGAGATTTGAGAATCCCAGATTCTAAAAAAAATTATTTGCCACAGTTATCTTTCTCAATAACTGATGTGATACAGGTAAAAAGTTGGCAAGATTGAGCACCCCTGACAACTTGCATGCCCTCAGGGAGGCACTGATAGTCTCCTGT